CGCCCCCTGGCGGCCTGTCCCGCGGCGGCACCCCCGCGCCCGCCGGCTGCAGCCACGACCAGCAGCTCAGGTACGGGCCGGGGCCGCGCTCGGGGAGGGCTGGGCTTCCAGCTGTGCCCGGCGGGAGCAGCGATCGCAGCGCCACCAGCTCTTGGGACTGCAGTAATGCACGGGTGGATTAAGATTCCCAAAGTGTAGCTGTCTGAGCCCGTAGCGTTATGAAAACTGAAACCTTGCTGCTGGCTTTGAAAAGCACGAGGTGAATTTAACCGAAGTTGCAAAACGTAATTCAAGCATCCGTATAATAAAGAAGATAATAATGGTAAAAAGATGTGATTTATTAGGTGTATGTCAGGCTCCCAGATCACCCCAGAGAGTAGGAGCTGCCCCAGGCTCTGCCTCGCAGTGCCCAGGATGCGCCTGCCACAGCCAGCAGCTGGGCCGGACCTCCTCACGTGCGGCCTTGTGTCGTGCCTGTGAGAATGCAGTTTGTCTTTGCACAGTGTGGGATTTGTAGGGTCCTTCTCTTCCAGCAATGTGACCTTTTTTTTTTTTTCTCTCATGTGCCAGATTGTTGCTTAGCCAGCCTATTCAGCCCATGATGCCTGGGTCCTGTAATGCAAGACACCCTTCAGACCTCAGCATGGCGGGATCCCAGGCCAAGTACGTGCCTTGTCAAAGATAAAACATCAAAGTCGCTTTTGAGGGGAAGTAGCCTTCTTTTGTAAGATGACAAAGTAGTTATAAATATTGGGAATGTGTTACTGCGCTGAGCCTGCCTTCCAGCATCAGGGTCAGCCTTACCCTGCCTGGTCATATCAGGAAGGATGGCAGAGAGAAACACAGAGTGCCCGTGGCACTTTTAACAAGCCATGGCTGGGGGAGTTTTTGTCCCTCACATGCTGCCTGATTCAGCACTAGAACTTCTGACCCACCAAGGTAAAAGTGAGAAAGTCAGCACTGGCTCAGTTAAATGACTGGTGCCAAAAAAGCCTCACCTCAGTTTTGTCTCCTCAAAACTGAAGGAACCAGAACAAGCTGGTCAAAATATACCTTTTTTTTTTAAGCTGTTTTTTTGTCACTGTACTTAATTGTGAACTCCTAAAATAATAAGAAACTGTTCGTACATCATTTATTTAAAAATAATTATTTTTACAAAACAGTATTTTTCTAATGTTATCTCAGGAATGTAGGTATTCAGAACTTTTTTTTTAAACGTCATTATTGTTGTTTAAGATTATCTTGAGTTAATTTGTCAAATGTAAATATTGAAGCTCTGCTTTTAAGCCTCGGATTAAAAGAAGCCTTATTTGCAAAGAGGCATCTCCCAGTTCATGTAGACTTACAGACTCCTGGGACCCTTTTATAGGAGCTCACATCCTCCTACAAGTACCCAGACTGTAGCATTTCTGACAAAACCCTAATGTTGAACAGCTGTTGAGTGAACACAAGTCACACTATGATCTCATCACCCTTTACAGGATAAACAGAATTAGGCTGGGTTGGCAATAGTTCCATTGTGGTTTTGCCCACAGCCTTCCACAAAACAACACATATTTAAGTTTTGCTTTGCAAAAGCAGAACAGCAAGAGGAATATTTTGTTTCTGTCCCATCCCTTGTTTCAGAGGGTTTCTAGAGGCTTCTTCTGTTCCTAGAGTGGGGCTCTCAGTGATGGGAACTGCTGATCGTACTTGGCAATATGTGTATGAGAAGCTTAAGAAGTAATCAACCCTAGCCATGTTTCTGCAGGAGATCACCAACCCCCAGACAGTCACAGGCAGCAGGACAGGAAGTGCATTTGCTTCTCTCTCTCTGCCGTTCAGGGCTCAGCATATTAAAATAGAATCAAAGACAATTTGGTTTAATTAGCCTGGGATGTGAATGCTGTGGCTGAAGACAAGATGTGCATAAACCAGAATCTTTAATGAATCTAAAATGTGATCTGGATTCTGAGGTGAGATGTATTCTTCCCTCCAAGTCCAGTTCATGCACAGAGTAAGGGAAGGCAGTGCTGCCAACAGTGCTGTTGTTCACATTAGCAGGTCCCATGCATGGGAATCATTTATTGGGAAGCAGGTCCCATGCATGGGAATCATTTATTGGGAATTATTTGGGGGTTTCAGCTACAGCAGAGAAGGCCCAGGGAGACCTTACAGCAGCTTTCCAGTATCTAAAACAAGCTACAAGAGACAGGTGGAGGGACTTCTAACAAGGGCATAGATGGATAGGACAAAAGGTAGTGAATTTAAACTGAAATAGGGCAGGTTTAGATTAGATATTAGGAAGAAATTCTATACTGTGAGGGTGGTGAGGCACTGAACAGGTTGCCCAGAGAAGTGGTGGATGGCGTGGATGGCCCATCCCTGAAAGTGTTCAAAGCCAGATTGGTGGATGGAGCTCTGAGTATAGTGGAAGATGTCCCTGTCCATGGAAGGGAGGTTGGCACTAGACAGTCTTTAAGGTCCTTTCCAACCCACAGCATTCTGTGATTCTATGATTTAGGAAGACTGGGGATTACCGTCCCTATTCTAAGAGAAGACCTTTATTTCCAGCACTTTGTTCTTGATTGTTTTGCTTCTTTCTTCCATAGGTATTCTCAAACCCAACAAATGTTTCAAAGTTTGGAAGTGCAGACTTCCAGCAGCAGCTCTCCAATCGTACTGATGGGACAAGCAGTGTTAAACCAAGGGTTCACCACTACCCCTCCTTCCCAGCCATCATCTTTGCCACCTATGCAACTCCAGCACCAACAGCATCAGCAACAACGCTACCTGCAGGTAGGACAAAGAGGCTAATGTATAAAGTGTGCACACAGAGTAACAAGGTGAGTGGGCTGTGCAAATGGGGCCCCAGGTTTCTGCTGCAGCCTGATCCTGGCAGAAATGTCCATTTAAAAGATTCTGATTCTGACTTCAGATGTGTGACACATTGATACAGTGGCCAGTACTAGTACAGCAAGGGAGCAGTCAGAATATTTAAAAGGAGATTACTAATTCTGTAAATTTAAAGCATAATCAGATTATCTTGGATATATTTAAAGTTTATTTCCAGTTGGAGAAAATCAGTGCCTTAGGATTTGTTCTGTACTCTTTATTCAGTATAAAATTTGCTTAGTTTACGAGTCAAAAGATGAGTTTTAATTACCAGCATCAACATAAAATAGATCTGGATCAGATATCTGGATCCCTTTAGGAAACTAACATATTTTCTCAACTCTACAAGGCAAAGAAGATAAAGTGGACCACGTTGCCTGGAAGAACCAGGTGATTTGAAGATGTAAAAATACTTATTTTTTGACCTAATTCAACACATGCTAGAGTAAAGGGGGAAAATGAGGTGTCTCTGTATTAGTTCAATAGGAGCTGAACTGAGTCTGTAAAGCCTGGTCACATATCCACTGGCATCACTGAAAGAGTATAACCAACTTGAAATGATTAAACTCTTGTTACTGAAATGAAATCCTTATCATAGCCGAGAATTAATGAAAAAAATTCTGGCAGATACTGTTTCCAATAAAGCATCTGAAAAATTCCCATCAACACTGCAAAGTCACACCCAGCTGTAAGCTCAGGAAAAGGAAGGGCTAGAAGGGGCAGTATGAGGCACATTAGGGTCCGTTTCATTTCTGCCATCCATCCGTGTCATTTCTGACATGTTCAGCCACGCGATTCCCAAACAGGCTTTTCAGGATAACCTGC